GAGAAAACTGCAGAATTAATCAACAGGGAGGGTTTCCTTTGATTATTGCTCAGGTGATATCTGTACTCTCTGTTGTGTCTTTCTGGAGGTATGTGCTGCCTACCTTGGCTGCTCCCATGACTCCTACATCCTGGAGAATTCCTGCGTACCCGGTACATTTGAAGGTCCAGATGACTTACAAAATTTGTGACTGGTGGACAAAGGATACCCACTGTGCCTATTGATCATGACAACAATGCACAAACCCCTTCACCAGGACCATGGTGGAGCAGGCAATCAGGATGCTGAAGATATGGTTCTGCTGCTTGGACCAGTCTGAGAGTGGGTAGGGTGGCTCCAGTATAGTCTGAACAGCGTGTGCTACATTATCCTGCCATGCTGTACTCTGCACAATTGTAGCAGGCAATGAGGTGACAAGCTGGATGCTGAAGGACTCTTGGTGGACAGGAGCAGTTTTCAAGGAGGAGGACTAGAATGAGAATATTGGTGGGAAGCCAATAGCTGTCCTTGCCCTTGTCCATGGCAGAGCTGAGCTGTATTGGTTTAAAGAAGCTTAATGGGACCTCCTTAACATCCATTTCCAATAGATGAGAGCTGGCTGCAGCAAACAATCACTGTCTATTAGATTGTAGTTGGTCATTGTGACAGCATTTGGTTTGCACTGTGGGGTGAACATCAGGCTCTATTAGTTTGGTTTGTGTTCCTTTTGCTTATCTGTATGTGATGTTCCCCTACTGGCAGCACAGCACCTCAGTGTTAGCACTGCTGCATCACTGTGCCAGGGCCTTCAGTTCAATTCCAGCCTCTGGTGACTGTATGTGTGAAGTTTGCACATTCTCCTCATGCCTGTGTGGGTTTCCTCTGGGTGCTTTGGTTGCATCCCTCAGCCAAAGATATGCAGGTCAAGTGGACTGGCCACGCTAAATTACCCATAGTGTCCAGAGATGTGCAGGCTGGTTGGATTAGCTATAGGAAATGCAGGGTGATGGGGAAAGGGTAGGGGAGTGGGTCTGGATGGGATGCTCTTCAGTGGAGCAGTGTTTACTTGATGGACCAAATGGCCTACTTCCACACTGCAGGGATTCTATGATATTGACAATGGCAAAATGAGGTTCAACAATGGGCCTGAGGAGCGGTGATTTGGAGAGGGTGTTCAGATAGGTTGTTACCCCAGTTAAGTGAAATGTGTATTGTAGTGGTTAAGCAATGACCAGGGTGAGTGAATGAGGTTGTATGTGTAAGAGAATGTCAACCATGCGGGCTGGCTATGTGCCGTGGGCTTTGTAGCTGCTGTGACGTGGTATTGCCAGTGAGGGGCAATGTAGGATTGCCAACACTTGTCCAGGTGCACAGTAGCCTTTCAAAGATGGCATGGGCATAAGGTTTTCCTATCTTTCAGCAGATATCCGTGAGTGGCAAGTTGTCCTGGGAGCAGTGCATGATAAGATGAGCTGGAATCAGACATAACAGATGCCAAAGCAGTCAGGTAAGTCTTAAAGGAGGGGAATTTGGTCAGATATGGCAAGAAAACATGGAAGGCGTCAAGGCGAAAATCTCTCCATAAAACCTGACATGCTTTTTGCACTTAGCCAAAAATGTAAGATTCAGCCCATCATGTTTTAGATGATAAGAAACTATGAAATATTTGTGTTCAAATGGAATTGGGTAAATTTGAATGTGAGCAGTGATGTTCACCAAACAAATACATTTTAACATAACAGAAATTTGTTTTGAAAAAGAGGGTGTTGAATTCTTTCTAAGCATCTCAGTTTAGATATGTGCCCATATTGGCTTGCAGGAGCAGAGGAACCTACATGTATATATGCACATATACTTCTTAAATGTTAAATTCTTAAATCTACGCCTCTGTGGTCATTTATCCCTCCACAATGGGGAAAAATTCCTTCCTGTCTACCTTATCTTGTCCCTCATAATTTTATACATCTCAATCGTGTCCCTCCTTAATCTGTTTTGCTCCAAGGAAAATAACCCCAGCCCATCCAATCTCTCTTATTAAGTAAAACTCTCCAGCCCAGGCAACATGCTGATAAATCCCACTTGCACCTTCTCCAGTGCAATCACGTCCCTCTTATAATGTGGATTCCAGGATAGCAGACAATACTCTAGCTGTGGCCTCACCAACATTTTATACAGTTCCAGTGTCGCTTCCCTGCTCTAAAAGTCTATGCCTTGCCTAATAAACGCAGGTATCCTGATGCCTTCTTAACCACATTATCTCTGTCCTGCTATTGTCAGGGACTGGTGGACATGCACACCAAGGTCCCTCTGATCCTCGGTGCTACTCGGTGCGACCGTTCATCACATAATCCCTTGCCTTGTTTGTCCTGGCCAAGTGCATCATCTCACACTTATTCTGACTGAATTCCATTTGCCACTGATACGCTAATCTGACGAGCCCATTTATATGGTCCTGTAATCTTAAGACTATCCTTCTCACTACATATCAACCACCAATTTTCATAAGATTAGGTGTGTTCAAGTTGGGTGTAAGATTGAGGATGGTGTTTGGGTTAGGCTTAGCATAATGTAAAAAAAAAACAAAGAACCGCAGATACTGAAAATCTCAAACAAAGACAGAAATTGCTGAAGGAACTCAGCAGGTCTACAAGTATTTGCGGAGAGAAAGCAGAGTTAATATTTTGGGTCCAGTGACCCTTTTTCAGACTGTTCTTAAGTTAACTGAAGGTGCATGGTGATGTTCCCATGTAGCTGCTACCATTGTCCTTCTAGGTGGTTATGATCATGTGTTTGGAAGATACTGTCTCAGGACCCTTGGTGAATATAAGTTTCTGATTGAGCGTTAGGTTCAGCAGTGAGTTTGGGATGCATGAGCAGCAAGCTTAGGGTTGCAGTTACAAGAGTCATACAGCATGAAAATAGACTCTTCAGTCCAAATCGTTCATGCTGACCAGGTATGCTAAACTGAACTAGTGCCATTTGCCTGTGTTTGGCCCATATCCCTGTAAACCTTTCCTATTCATATACCTTTTCAATTTGCTATTCAAATACCTTTTAAACGTTGTAATTGTACTAACCTCCACCACTTCCTGTGGCAGCTCATTCCATGCATGCACCACCCTCTATGTGAAAAAGTTGCCCCTCAGGCCCCTTTTAAACCTTTCCCCTCTCATCTTAAACCTATGCCCTCTAGCTTTGGACTCCCTTACCCTTGGAAAAAGACCTTGACTATTCACCTTATCTATACCCCTCATGATTTTATAAACCTCTACAAGCGTCACCCCTCAGCTTCAAACGTTCCAGGGAAAGAAGTCCCAGCCTATCCAGCCTGTCCTTATAAGTCAAATCCTTCAGTTCCAGCAACATCCTTGTAAATTTTTTCTGTACCCTTTTTAGTTTAACAACATCATCCCTATAACAGGGCAACCAGAATTGTATGCAGCATTCTAAAAGTGGCCTCACCAATGTATTGCATAGATGCAACATGACATCCCAACTCCTGTATGCAATGCTCCGACCAACGAAGGCAAGTATGCCATAAGCCTTCTTCACCACCCTATGAAGTCACTTTCAAGGAACTCTGAACCTCCACCCTCAGGTCCCTCCGTTCAAACACACATCCCACACAATTCTAGACAACAAGGTGCAGAGCTGGATGAACACAGCAGGCCAAGCAGCATCATAGGAGCGGAAAGGCTGACGTTTCAGGCCTAGACCCTTCTATCCCACACAATTCTTAATGCTAACCTCAACACCAGGGCTTCCCAAGCTGTAGGTTATGATTTTGGGGTCGTGAACACTAACGTAGCAATGGCCGTGCTGGACTTTGGACTGAATGTTTAGAGTTAGAGTAAAAGGTTAGGTTTAGAAATTAATTGGACTGCAGCCAGGTTGACTTAACATTTAGGTTTCTTTCCAGATTAGGGCTGATTTTGGGTTCATTCAATTAGAGCAGGGCAGTTACAAAAACAGAAATTGCTAGAAAAGCTCAGCAGATCTGGCAGCATCTGTGGAGAGCAATCACAGTTAATGTTTCGGGTCAAGTGACCATTCCTCAGAACTCGGTGCCCGAAATTCTTTAAACTGAGACCTTTGCTGAGTACACAACATTGATCATCGGAAAGCGGAAGGTCAGGAGGGTTGGTGAATACACAACAGGAGGTGGGGTTGGTTGGGGGGGATGATGGAATCAGAGGGAAGGGGAGGGGAGAAAGGTTCCAAAGACCTTGGGTATCTCTAAGTTGTTGCATCTTGTGTGCCTGGATGCTTGAAAGGAAAAGAAAAGGTTTCTTGTTAGCACATCAAATGAGCTGGAGGACGAAGTGGAGCTGGAGAATGGTGCAGCCCCGAGCCAGTGTGATTTGATGCAGTTGGAGAGAGAGGTTGAGTGTGTGCGTGTGATGACGCATGACACTGAAGGTGGATCTCAGGACAAGGCAAGAGCAACTGTCTGTGGAACATTCAACATCACAAAGATACCTATATCCTGGGTGGATTCAAGTTTCAATCTTCATACTTTGAGTTGGAATCCAGAGGTGAGTCTGAGCCAGAGGCAGTCTCTGAGGAATGTGATGTGACTGTGGAAACGAGTTTTAGCAAATACCTGCTCAAATACCAGAAGTGACAGTGAAATTAATCTTGATGGACAAGAAAATGATTGAAACGGAAATCCCATCAGAGAGGGGAGTGTTAACTCTGATTTTTATCCACACATGTTGCCAGATCTGCTGAGCTTTTCCAGCAATTTCTGTTATTGTGTCTGATTTATAGCATGTGCAGTTTTTTTGGTTTTTACTAGAGTAGGGCAGTGTTTCCCAAATATTTCCCCCAGCATCACCACATTTTAATGGCACAGACTAAGGGACAGAAAATGGAAAAATAAATTCCCAAATGCACAAATCTAGCTGTCCATCTCCTCACTTGTTTCTATCACCAATTGTCCACTGCATTTTCTGGAGAGCACATTGGACACCAAATCCAAAGCATGTCCAATAAATACAACATTCAAGTTCCAGTGGAAGCAAGAACCTTTAGCCATTTTGGCCTGTTTTTATTGCCTACTAACATCTGGCTTTCATGAGTCTCTTCATCAACTGACAGTTTTTTTTCCCACCCCAGTTCACTTTACTATCATTTGTGGACTTTGCAATTGGAAGCTAATGTGTTTGGGAGAGAAGAAGGATCTGTTAATGTCCTGGAGGAATTCTGCAA